ATTTGTCAGAATCAATTAATGTTTGAAATGATTTTTATTCTCTTTCATTAATTGTCATTTAATGCTATGTGAAAATGTGATATGTGTGTCTGTTGATTGCCCTAATTGTTTCCTCTATAAATACCATATTTCACACCAATTTCACACTTTTCACTTCACAAACAATTTTATGCATTTCTGCCTTCTCTTCTCTCTTCACAAAAACCCTAAACCTTCATCCCAATCATCTTCATCCTCTTCAATGGCAACCTCATCTTCTACAGCAGCTCAATTTCAATCAACTATGGCTGCAATTACGTCAGCAAATATGGGTGTAACTCCATTCACGGTACCTAAGAGGACATTGTTAACCCCTGTGGACAAACTTGAAGTTCTCTGTGAATCAATGGTGGAATTTGATTCGTTAGCTGAAAATGGGTTTGAATTTCGTTCAATAATTGATGCACAAGGCTGGGTTAAATATTTTGACAGATTATTTGGACCAGTTTACCCTCATCTGATGAAGGAATTCTAGATACATGCTTCTGTTTATCCAAAATTCATTTTATCTTATGTTCTGGGAAAGGAGATCATAATAACTGAAGATCTCATCAAGAAACTCATAGGGTATGAGGAGACTGATGGAGTATGTCATCTGCCAGCTGAGCGTGTGAACATGGAGGAAGTTTATGAGGAAGTCATCATATCTGGATAGGCCTCTAACAAATTTAAGGATCTGAAGCCTGACTATAAAATCTGGGCAAAGATTTTTCTAGGATGCATCGATCACAGAAAATCTACCAATTCTCCAGATTATGTGAACAATGAACAACTCTACTTCATGTATTGTTTAAGTCATAGTACAAAGGTAGATCTTCCTTACATTCTCTTTATGCATCTGTGGAACCATATAAATGCTTCAAGAGAATCTGTAAAGGATAAGGGACAGAAGATCAGGACATGGATTCCCTTTGGAAGATTGATTTCAGACATTCTGACAGAGAATGGTCTAGTAACTGCTCTGTATGAAGCTGGAGTTAAAGATGAGCTTGAATATATCATTGGAAAACCTCTGAATGCAAAGAGTCTTCGGAGACTAAAGATTGTAGATGAACTTACAGTTGCACCCAAGAAGTTGAATATTTCTGAAATCAGTCAGAAGAGAATTCCTGTTGATAATTTTCCATTTTTTGGTGCTGAATAACCAAGAGATATTATTGTGAGGTATATTGATTCATGCAAAGTAGATGGAACGCCTATTCCTGCAGACATTCTGATAAGAGCAAGAGAACCAATGCTAGATGTATATAATGAGAATATGAGGAAAAGGAGTCAATCAGAGGCAAAAGAAGTTGCTGCTCAGAAAAAGCCAAAAGTTGTTGACAAGCCACAAAAGCAGATCAAGAGAAAAGCTTCTTGAGAAGTTCCCTCTGTTCCTACCAAGCGTATAAAGACTAAAGGTACTAAATCATCTGTATCTTCTTTTTCTAAAATTGTTATAAATGAATCAACATTTAGTTCTATTCCAAAACCACCTCCCACTCAAAAACAATTTATTCCTGCTCCATCCCAAAAATCTGAACCATCAAAAATTCCTTCCCCACAAAAATCATCTGATCCAATTTCCACTACTCCACTAAAAACTTCTGTTACTCCACCATCTTAACCAACAACAACAACACCAGCAAACCAAATTTCAACAACTATAACAAAACCAACATAACAACCTACACCACAACAACAACCAGAAAAACAACAACCAGATACATCTGAACCCATACAATATGATCCAGTTGCATCTGATCATGTTGCCCCTGAACGAGTTGTTTCTAAACCACCTATCTCTGAACCACTTGTATCTGAACCTCCATCAAAACCTTCTGAGAATCAACCAGAACCAACCAATCCTCCTGAAACAAATATACATGAGACAGAGGTTCTAAACGTTACACCTCTCAAGACTGTATTTGAAGTGTCTTCTACATCTTGTACCCCAACCACCTCCTCTGATTCCTCAGAATCTGATATCCATCCAGATATTCTTTCACCTCCCTCTCTCAGAACTTTTGAATCTAACCAACCAGATCTACCCATTTCTTTTGACACTACCAATCCTTAACCCATTCCTGAACCAAAAACATCTGAATTTGTTTCAGTTGTTTCTGCTAAACCTTTTCCATCTGATCCCCTTCCATCTGGACTTGATATTGACAACTTTTTTGATCAACCACCTCAATCAGCTTTTATTCCTTTTCTTATTAAGGAAAAACAATCTGCATTTGTTCCTTATTTTGACAACCCAAAAGTTGTCATACCTTCCATTCACAGAATCAAACCATTCTTTCGTATCATGCCAGCCCAGAAGAAACCAGCATATCCTAGCCCTCTCATTATTATTCCTGAATTTACCATTCCACTACCACCTCAACCTAAGCCTTTCACCTTGGAAACCCTTCTGAAACCAAAATCTAGGCTGAATGTTGATAATTTATTTACAAGTTTTCTGAAAGAAATAAAGATGCATTTAGGCTCTGTTCAGAAGAGATATCTGTCAACCATGGATGCAAATGAATCTGATGCTATCTGGAATAGCTTCATCAACAGATTCAATACTGTAGCCTCAAATCTGAAGAATGTATGTTCTGATGATGTGAAGCTCAGATTTGCTGAGACTACTAGAAGCTTGCTCTGGACTGTTAAAAGATCTGAACCATTGCTTCTTGAAGATGTTCCTTCATCCTCTGAAGTATGTGATACAAAAGTGACTGTTGAATCTGCATCTGAAGAAAACCCTTTGGCTATAACTCTTGTGGAACATCCCTCTGGATCTGTTGCTCCTGACTCAGCATCTCCTCTGGAAATTGACTATGTTCCTGCTTCAGACTCTGCCCCACCTTTCTCATCTGAGGTCAAGAAAGAGTATCCAGATCTTGAAGATAAGATTGCAGTTTTGGAAGCTGGTCAATATGAGATTAAGTCATGGATGGTCAAGCAAGATCAGAAGTCTGAAGACATGGCTCAATGGATGTCCAAACAAGATCAGAAGAACGAAAACATGGCTAAGTGGATGACAAAGCAAGAACAGTCCTCATCTGAGATCACTAACCTGTTGAAGATGATTTTGTCCAAACAAACTTAGTTTATTTTTTCTGCATCTGATGTTTGTGCACATGTATTTTTTATCTGATGTTTTGTATCTTTTACTCTGAATGAATGAATGACTCAGTGTTTTATCTACATGATTTACCTTTTTTGTATTTCCTTTTATTTGTATTTTAAAAGTTTTTTTTTACTTTTTGATTATGACAAAAAAGGGGGAGAAAATGGATCTGACTGTTCAAATAAACTCTACCTAAATGAAACTTCAGACATATCAATTATAACTAACGTAAACTCTTAGTGTTTCAAAATGTTTAATATATATGACATATTCGTTAAAAGAAACTCTAAGACTCCCAGATAATATTTTACCTATCAGACTCTGACTCTGAAACATGCAAGATCTAATGATTAGAACATTCAAGCTCTGATTCTGAAAAGAATACTCATGCAAAAAGGGAAGTTTCTATTCTTTCTTAGTATTCAATTCAGGGGGAGATTCATCATCTCAGGGGGAGTTATAATTACTTTATTTTCTATTAAACATAATTTCTGATGTTTTTGTCATCATCAAAAAGGGGAAGATTGTTAGAACACAGATTGGTTCTTAATAATATCTCTATGTTTTGATGATAACTCTTATGAAATTTTGTATTAAAGAATTATATACTCTAAAATTTGTTTGAAAATGTTTGCTGCAGATGTTAAAGTGAATATTACTCTAGAAGCAAATTAGATCTGAACATAAGAAATATGCAAGGCTCTGAAGCGTCAGAAGCATCTCTTAGAGGATTCTGAATGTTGTCTCCAGAAGATTCTGAGCGCTGCCTCCAGAAGAATCTGAAGCAGAAGCTACAGAAGAATCTGAAGCAGAAGCCAGAAGCATCTGAAGCAATGAGGAATTCTGTATGAAGAGTTTCAAGCATAGTTACTTTAGAAGACTCTGATAGTACTAACGCTGCCAGTACTGAGGATCTGATCTAAAACTCTGCTCTGAACATTTACACGCTGAAAGCACACTTGCTGCAAAGACTCTTATTCAGCAAACTCTGATGAACATTAGAAGGCTCTGACCAATCTAGACTCTGATGATTCTTGCTGAAAATTGTTGAAGAAGAATTCAAAGTTATGTCCGTTGGAATAACCAAACGACTCTTTCCTTATTTTTGCTAGACACAAGAACACAGACAAAAAGGATTTCTTTGTGCATTCTTCTTCTAGGAAAGGTCATATAATGTGAAGACAAAAAGGCTCAGACCTTTTTGGTACACTGTTCTCAACGTGAAAGACTTCATGGACCTCTGTGCCTATAAAAGCAAGACTCCATTCATCTTCTTCAGTTGACGAAATACTTGAAAGAATTCATTACAAGCTCTCATACAACTTATACATACTTGCTAAACTTATTTCATTGTTCTTCATCTTAAGTTAAAAATCACAGTTGTGATAAAGCTTTATTAGAAGCATTTTTAACACTTGTATTATTATTACATTTGATTGTAAGAGAACCTTAAGAAGATCCAGTTAGGATCAATAGTTCTTGAGAAGACTTTGAACAGTTGTTCTTAGTGCTTACTATTGTAATCAGTTGATTAAATAGTGGATTAAGTCCTTGTTTGAGAAAGGCAAATCACTCTTGATAGGGTGGACTGGAGTAGTTAAGTTCAACGAACCAGGATAAAAATCCTTGAGTTTTTATTTCTAAGTTTTATCTTCATACTTATTCAACCCCCCTTTCTAAGTATTTTCTCACCTTCATGTATGTGTTTGAGAACTTCGTTTGTATATAGGATATCTGTTGTTATCAACAATGGTGTCTTCATTAATTTTTTGGGGAAAAAACTTAGAACACCTTCTATTCTCCATGCATGGCAAAGTTAGCCTGGATAAACCGCAATGTCCGTGCAACATGTGTGATTTGACTAATTGATATAACCTCGGATACAGAACAGGATCAGGGATTTCTGCAGAGATGATGTTGTCAATGTCTCACGGTGTAGGATACTTACTCTGTGGGTGTAAGAAAATAAGAATGTGTGCATGTGGCAAGCCCCTTTTCTGGAATTCAATTGTAACATGTCTAAAACACAAATAAAGGAAACGTTAAAAGAAATCGATCGTAAGTAAGAAAATACAAATCATATGAAAGTACGATTGTCTTACATGTCGAAACTTTACCAAGCATATGCCGTTTGGTCAGGTCTACCATAAGTTCATCAAATTTGATCTTAAATACCTTGACAATAATACCAGGTCTGTCGTGTGGCTTTAAATTTTCCTTGGACAGTAGTCGTGTTATTTCAGGCCAGTTCGGGTTGCACGTAAACGTAATAAATAAATCAGGAAAGCCAAATGCACTGGAGATAACCATATCATTAAAGTAGAAGTTATCCATGTAACTTTTCCCGCCTACAAATGATTAAGGAAAAACAACTCTTCGCCCCAGTCTTGTTTGGTTCATTTTGTTGATGATTTTCGCGATTCTCATTAAGTTGTTTATACTTTCCAACTTAGTTTAGATTAGTTATTCCTCAACCAATTAAGACGCTTCGTTTCCATCATTGTGTATCCATTAACCAATAATTGTTGGAAGAGTCTCCTTGAATGCAAAAGTGTTTTGACCTCATATCTCCATTGGTGCAAACAGAAGCATAGTCAATCTTTTATGGTTTGACAATTTTGCTTGGTAACAACCTTTTGATGTATAAACTTGTGGAATATGTTAGGTCGATATTCATCTTCATCATACGGAAAAATCAATGGGTATTGATACGCCAAGTAACTTGCATGGAATTCATCAATCATTTGTAATTGACCATCACGTTGTTGCACTATTATGTTTATTTTTTATGCTGAATCTATATCCCCGACTATAAGAGCTGCTACCTCAGATATGGTAGGGCAGTTATATACACGATCGTTCATGGATCTTTCAGAGATAAGTTGCAGCTTTAAATCTTGAAATGTATTATTCTTCAACATGCCTCTTGCCATCCGAAAAGCCTTTTCACGAGGATTATTCTCATCCAACATGACTATTGATCTATCAATCTCTTTATTGTCCCTGTTATAAAAAATGAGTATTGATAGGTTAACAAAAATAGTAAATGAAAACGTGTTTGAGTTGTATGAATGAAATAGTTTTTTTTACCTAAAGCACTTCATTTAGTTAACAACTTTATTATCTGTGTCATGAATATACAATTGTGCATATTTGAGGGGTTGTCCCAGCTCAGGCAACAAAGTTCTAATTCGATGGCATGTCTAACCATGCAGTCTAAGAGTAGGGATACCTCAACCACCCTTTGTATTGGATGTATCAAATTTCATTCCTGGGGATGTGAAAGAAAACATTGCATTATGAGTGCGAATGTTGTTTTGAAAATTCTTAGCATAATGGTATTTTTTTTTATCAAACATCAGTTTGTGTGAAGCGGGCGGTGGAGGCTAAAGCATTGGAAGTACAATCTTCCCTCTCTTGCAACATAGTGTGAACTCTGGAACAGTTGAGTGTCTTGACTTGCTTCAGCGTTCTTGATACCACATAGTTGTGTGGCAATGTTGGCATTCCCATAAAGGGTCTCCTATATCTAAGTAAACTGAAAATGAATAAAACATTGCAACACATATGAGCACACGACACATGAATTCGTAAAATATGATATATATATATATATATATATATATATATATATATATATATATATATATATATATATATATATATATATATATATATATATATATATATATATATATATATATATATATATATATATATATATATATATATGTATAATGTTGCAGGTATTCTGCAATGAGACAGAAGATTACTGATTAAGGTATTAACCTTGCGCGTAACAACTTCCTAATGGGATGGAGTTGGCATCTGCATCATCATTAGAGTTGTCTTCAAAGTCGTCGTCATGGTCGTAATTTAGCGAATTGTCAGTATCAGAGTTTCCTGCTTCCGTAATGAAAGAAGGATTTGGAGTTAGTATTCTATTAGAAAATGTATTTGTAGCATGTAGAGTGCTCTATTGTGGCTCATTATCACGGGTGAGTCGAGGAGGTGTGACTGCGTTGAAGACGTTGATAAGATTCACTCCTGATGGTACAACAAATCTTGCCCTGTTAAAATGATTTCTTTCGTAGTGATGACAATCAGATGATTCAGTATATATTGTGTTTGAAAAATCTGTAGAAAGTGGTGTAGCATTATAAGGATGGTTGGTTGATGCGGGAGTGAAATGTTGTGTAGTATCATGTGGATAAACATTCTCCTTATTGGAAGGAAGCTGCTTGTTTCTTTTGTTTAACATACAAAGCTTTCTTTTTTTCCTTGCAAGACATGAAATTGTTTTGTTGTTGTCATCTTTTGAGTGTTCCATTCTAAGTGCGTAGAAATTGGACCAAAGATTATAGTTGTTTTGTTTCCATTACCATATTATGTCATTTTATATATGTGTTTTTGCAAAGAGCAACGTTGTTATCGTAAAATATTTGTAAACTTGTGTTTTATCGTGTTTCTAAGAGTTGATATGAATAAGAAGTTTAATGTAAAAGAAAATTTCTGCATTGCTTGCTAACTTGGTGAATAACTATGGTTGATATTAAAACATTAGCAACACATGTTTTAGTTCGTATGAGTTTGTGCGTAAAACTCTAGATTAGAAATGACAGGTGATAAGTGTTTGTGTTGTTTGTTGGAAAAGCAATTTAGTATAGGCTATATAAAAGTAGTTTGAGTTGACATTACCAAGGATTAAGAGTACCAATTTGTATTGATAACAGTGTGGCATTAAATGTAAAAGTGCTGAAGACTGCATTGTTCTCAAGGCCAAGGTTCAAAAGCTTATTGACCAGAAAATCCTGACATTTTCTGAAGAGCGTATTAATATACAAACTAATCCCTTGCCTGTTCATGGTGGACATAGGGTTAATATGATTGAGGACAATTAAGGGGCTGAGTTGATCAGAGATGCCGACGAAGTGAAAACTCTGATGACTGTTATGATTAAGAAGTTGAAAGAGTAAGGGTTATTGAAAGGTCTTCATGGAAAATTTCAGATTTGTGATAATAATCCTAATCAGTGCTGAAGGTTGAAAAGCTGTGTTCAGATCTTGATGAACCGTGGTGTGATTCAATTTTCCAAAGCCAAGTCGGTATAAGAGGTAACTACAATCGAGTTGTTAACGATCATATATAGGAAAGCTCTTGTGGAAGCTCCTAAGAAGAAAATACAATCTATCACTGTTTGTGCACTAAAATCATTCCTGTATTAGAATTTAAAAGAGGTTCCTTGGAAGTATGGTTCCACCATGTTTTCTGAGGGTCGAGAGATTCAGTTTTCAGAATCCGAAATTTTGAACGTGACTGCGACTAGAGGAATGACCTGTAGCGGGTGAGTGTTTGCTCCGAAGGTCACATCTAAGCCAGTGCATGTTCCAACTATTGTTCCTTCCAAGGAGAAGTACGCTTCAACAACCCCTGTTATGCAACAAGGGGCATCTACCGCTGCGTCAGTATCAGTCACTCTGTCTATGGATGTTGCAAAAAGTAAAAAAGGTAATGGATGATCAAGAGTTTCTCAATCTGATCAAAAAGAGTGATTTTAAGATTGTGGATCAGCTGAGATAAACTCATTCGAGGATTTCAATTTTGTCTTTACTCATGAGCTCGCACGCGCATAAATCAGCTTTGTTGAAAGTTTTGAACACTGCTCATGTAATGCACGATATTCCTGTAGAACAGTTTGATGACGTAGTCATAAACATAACTGTAAGTAGGTATTTGGGTTTTAATGAATCAAAATTTCCTCTTGAAGGTACTACCCATAATAGAGCCTTGCACATATCAGTAACTTGTATGGACTCTTTGTTATCTCATGTTCTTTTGGATACGGGTTCTTCTCTCAACATAATGCCTAAGGGCACATTGAGTCAACTACTGGTAGAAGGGAGAGAGATGAGGCCAAGTGCTTTAATTGTCAGAGCTTTTGACGGTTCTCGAAGGCAAATTTGTGAAGTGGAACTACCCATTAAGATCGGGCTGCATTTATTTACCATCACTTTCCAAGTGATGAATATCAATCATGCATATAATTTCCTATTGGATCGACCATGGATTTATGCCGCATGAGCAATTACTTCCACATTATATTAGAAGCTAAAATTCATGTTTGACGATCAAATGGTCGTCGTTTATGGTGAAGAAGATTTTATAGCAAGCAAGTTATCATCTTTTTGATATGTCGAGACTGATGAAGGCATAACTGAGGTGCCGTAGATCACCAAAAATGACCGTGTCATCTGTTAAGAGTGCTAAATAGACCATTGAGAAAGATGTCTTGCCTGGCTGGGGGCAAATTTTGGATGTGGTTGAGAAGCATGATCATTTTGGACTGGGTTATCATCCCAAGCAACAAGCTAGCTCACACGATCAGCAGAAGTGCAAATTGATCAAGTTTAATAGCGTTGGATTCCAGAAAGGGGATATCGTGTCAGCTATTGATGATGCTGGTCCTAGCAACCGAAGTGCAAGCTTTGTATGCAAGTATCCATATGGCTTCAAGCTCAACAATTGGACATCTACTATGATTCTTGTGGTTTTTCCTACAACCATGTAATAAATTTTGCTTTCATATGCCCTCGTCCTCTCCCGAGACGAGTGGATAGCTTGTAAAGGGCCTCCCGCTTTTGAAACATTATGTGATCAATAAATTAACATTTTTTCTGCATTCAAATCATGCTCTCCTTTCATTCTTTATTTTACTTTTTTCACAAATAACAAATGGAAAAAGCTTCTTTTTTATTTTCACTGATCGGTGGATTTCAGTTGTGTTTTCAAACGCTGTTTGTGGTTAATTTCGCAATGTTTTTATCTATTTTTCGAAGCTTTAGTTGTTATTATCTGCATTACTCGTAGTTGTGTGTCTTCGAGTCTTATTTTTAAGTTTATGTTGCTTTTGCCGCTGGTGTGTTTGATTTGGTTTCTTTTAGTGTGTTTTTGGCAGGAATGGATAGCACGACAATCACACCGCATTCGGAGGCAAAGAAAAGTCGAAAAAGGGAAATCAGAGCTGCAACACGGGTACCCGTGTTGCACAACACGGCCCGTGTCATGAAGGACACGGTTGGCAGACACGGGTGGACCAAAGCAGAAGAAAAAAGAAGACTCAGACTTGCAACACGGGTGCCCGTGTCATGCAACACGGCCCGTGTTGCAGCCCTTGGAGAGGAGACACGCCCTGAAGAAGCCAGCAGCCTGACACGGCCACCCGTGTTGCACAACACGGCCCGTGTCAGGGCCACTGAACGTGAAATTTCTCTGTTTTCTGATTTTTTGCTGTCAGACCTATTTCGAAGGGCATTTGAGACATTTCGCGATGTAATTTGAATTTAGATATAAGAGGCACATTTTAGAAATAGGGGACACTTTTGAATTGATATTAGAATTGAGAACTGAGAGGAGAGTTCGGCTGGAAACAGAGGATCGATCAAAAGCGGAAGCAATTGATGATCCAAGGATTTCAACTTGCATCGTAATGATCTTCTCCTTTTTAATTCTAATTACTTTTATGTTTACCAAGAACATGAGCAGCTAAACCCCAAGTTGTTAGGGGGTGGTCCTAAGTGCGATGTAATGACTTTTGTTTAATTATTCTATGAGAACTATGTTTTTACCTTGATATATTTTATTTTGCATTAATCGTAATCGTATTCATATTGGAAAATAGAATTCGAGTCGTGCTTAGGCTTTAGTCTGGAAAGTCAACCTAACACTTTTGCAAAATAGTATCACGGTCGATATTTCTTAGGAATGAGGATATCCCGTATCACGTATTTTATGGTCGGAACTATTGCTTGATGCTTTTCAGGGACACTGAGGAATTAGTGTACAGGAAAATCATCAAAGGGTTTTCATTAAGGAATTAAGGCAACTAAAGTGGCCAACTGATAAATTAAGGTTAATAACTAGTATAGTAGAATAATCATACAGGGTCTTTACCCGCATCGTCTCCACTCCCCTAACATTGTTCTTAGATTGATTCATTAAGTCTGTATTTACTTGTTATATTACTCTGCTACCAAACAAACCACTAGACCTTTTGTTCAATTGAATCCTAAAAATTCCGTTAATTACTACGCAGTCCTCGAGATCG